AATACTCCTATAACTTATATATAATCAAAAATAATTTATTTCACACAGATTAAGAAGGTTTGTTACATTTAATTTTCATAATTTTATATAAAATATATATTATATTTTTAAAATATTTTTAATTACATTCATGATAGATAGTGTTCTTATTTATTATCATAAAAATATTTTTGGATTAAGAATAAGGTTGACTTGAATAAATTTACTTATATTTCAGTATAAAAATTTTAATATTTTTTATTTATATATAGGTCAAAAAAGTAATGACATATAAAACTTAAATAAAGTATGATACTAAGTTTTAACAATCAAGTATTCTTTACAACAAAGTCTCTTCAGGCTTCAAATTATAACACAAAGTTAAAGTTATAGTAAATCACTATTGTTTTGTAATACTCATAAGATGTCATACAACCAATTTAATGTTACACAAAAAGAATCAAATGAATTTTCACAATGGTTGTTCTCTATTCCTTCTTTATAAGTTTTCAAGTTTCTTTATATATGTGTTTTGTTAAGATGATCGTTGTAAATTTTTAAGTTTCTTTTATAGGCTTGTTTTCTCTTTCTTCATTTTCCTTCCTTTTAGAGTGAAATGTTCGTTGGTGCATTAAATGAAAGTATTAGATGCATTTCACTAAATTTTCACTTCTTATTTAATCAAGGAAGCTACTTGTCACCTTTAAGGTACAAAACGAGTGAAATTATTACATGTGTTAGTTGAAAATGACTTTATCAAAGACTTTACACACTTTGAGATATCTGCTTGTCCTTTTTTTGACAAAAAACGAATCTCTGTTCCTTTTTTAAGTTAAAGTATCAAAAAAGATTTTATTCCTTTGATCTGTTAAGGAATAACGAAGACAAAAATGATTTGGTTATCAAACATGATAAATGATATATTTAATGCTTTCTTCTTAGACAAATGAAGTAGTTCGTTTGAAAAACTACACGCCATAGTAATCAATCATCTCTCTAAATTTTTCTTTCTATATGATCTAAAAAAATATTTCTTTGATAAAAATGTTCTCATGCTTGTTAAATTAAAACTTATATCTTGAGTGATTTAAGATCGTCTTTCGATCTAATACTATCCTTATCTTCTTTTTAGACAAAAGAAATAAAATATTCTCAAATAACCTAAAACATAAATCATATCTTTTTTCGATAGACTTAATTAGATAATTGTTTAAAATACATATATAATTAAATTATTCCTTTAAAAGCTCCATTAATTAATTAAAACCTTTTATTAATTGTTTAGAAAGAAAAAAAACTTGAGGTGTTACACATTAAAATGAAAAGGACCTACAAAGGCATAAATCTAATGCCTTAAGATTTTGGATTAAATTTGGTTTTAAGTTCACTTGTATTGTTTGCTCATGACCCATTGATGGAGATATCCAATTATTTTACCTTTCTAGTATTCCTAATGCATATAGGGATTTCTTGTATCAAAAGTTTGGATTCATGTATAGTAATCTCTTATATTGAAAGTCTTCCTAACAATGTGAAGGTTTAAAGAGAGATTGTTGGAGAACAAGTATGAATATGAAGTCTCATAATTGGGTAAGATTGGACAAGTTGAGTCAAATATAAGTGAAAAAGACCTACAACTATAATGCTTTAAGATTTGGGGTTAAATGTGGTATCAAATTCACTTGTCTAATTTTTTCATGATCCATTTACAAAGATTTTTTAATATTTTAGTCTATTCACCTAATATATATATATATATATATATATTCTTGGTGTTTTATGCTTTTTTAATAGCTTAAAATTGGCATTATGGATTCCTAAAAAATCTTCGCTTGAATCGAAAATTTGTAAGAGGCCCTTGTCCGTGAACTTGATCGATCTTCATTTTCAATTCTTTTCAAGAATTCGTATTCAATTATAAGTCTTAGTAGTACGTGTAGGGTTCCTAGGGATAAGACTAATTTAGAGCCTTGTGGATTAATGGCAACGGGTGGATTGGAGAGAGATCGAACTTCTAGAATATAAAATTAACTATTTTATCTTTATAAATAAAGGCCAGTGAGCAAGAAAATTATTCGAGATCTGGTATTATAATTTCAATGAATAAAAAGAATTACACCCTAATAATTAGCCTTTTAATGATATATATATATATATATAGTTAAAATAAGAATGACGTTTAAATTAAAAAGTTATAGTTCATTCTATTCCATTTTTTTTCCAGATAATAGAAAGAAATTTTTTTTTAATTCTATTATAAAATAACAAACAATATAACAAAAATTTTATTCCATTTAAATATATTCCAATTCGTTCTAGAGTGACTGTAACTGCTATCGCAGGATGTTCTGTTTCATTGAGTCGTGGGTATCTACTACGGGTTTGTCAACTGAAACCATAAGGCTGATGATATATACACCTCTATTTTTTTATACATATATCTCCTTTTTTTTAAAAAAATATTAAATTCTTAAATTATTCTTAATATTATTTGGAATAAAAAAAAGTTATTTTAAAAAGTGTTTTTTAGAGGTGTATTTGTACATAATTATGGAAAGTACTTTCCAGAATACTAAAATTACTATTCTTGAAAGAACTTTCCGCTAGAATAATTCTGGAAAGTACTCTCTGGAATACTAAAATTACTATTATGTAAATAACTTTCCGTCGGAATAATTCTGGAAAGTACTTTCCGTAACACTAAAATTACTATTGCGGAAATTTCTTTACGAAATTCTGGTAACAAATACACTGTTAATATTTTGGAAAGAATTTTCCGCAATAATAATTCTAGTGTTATGGAAAGTATTTTCCAGAATTATTTCGACGGAAAGTTATTTTCGGAATGTAATTTTAGTATTCCGGAAAGTACTTTCCGTAATTATTCTGACGGAAAGTTCTTTTCGGAAGGCTCATGATATATTGTTTTTTTTTTATAAGTAAACCTTCTTTATTTTTTAAAAAAAATTATAAAATATTATATATATATGTATATTTTTTAATTTTATACCTTTAACTTTCAATTTTCTACTTTTTTCTTTTTTTTTCACACACTTTTTTTTTTCTCTTTCAATTTTTACATGCTACCAAAATAGATGGGGTGAAGAAAAGATAAGGGGGTGCATGTAAAAATTGAAAAAAAAAAAAAGATGTGTAAAAAAAAGTACTAAATTAAATGTTGTGAATGTAAAATTAATCAAAAAAGCAAAAAATTAAGAATATTTTAAAATTTTAAATTTTTTTTTAAAAGGAGGTGTACTTATAAGAAAAAGGAGGTGTATATATCATCAACCTTTCGGAATAGTAATTTTAGTATTCCAGAAAGTACTTTCCATAATTATGTACAAACACACCTTTGAAAAATACTTTCCAGAATAAATTTTTTTTTTATTTCAAATAATATTAAGGGTAATTTAGGAATTTAATATTTTTTTTTAAAAAAAAGGGGGTGTATGTATAAAAAAATGGAGTATATCATCAACCAAACCATAATGATACTCATGGTCCATTTATACCTTATTGGATCTAACGACCCAGCAGGCCAGCCCAATTAAAATTTTCTGGATTTGGATTTTGTTGTTTTCTTTGGTTCGGATCTAAACTAGCACATTAAACACTCACATCACACTGTGATTTAATATTCACTAAAAGCACTTTTTTGTAGAACACTAAAAAATCATTTAATACGAATACAATGATAAATGGCTATGTAATTTCTCCTATTATTATCGTATTTTCACACTGTGTTTTGAGAGATGTAAAGAAACTTATATTGTTATTAATTTTATCTTACATCAAAATCAACCAAATTAAAACTTAATCTTAAAGAATTATTACATCAATTAACCTAAACGGACTAAATACATATTTTCTTCGTTTCCAATAGAAAGATAATAAAGTTTTAATTTTATTTTACAGAGTATAAAATATTGTGAAATTTTTAGAGAGAATAAACTAGTGAATTGTAATTAGTTGAAGATGTAGTTTCTTTTTATATACTTAGAATTCAAAGTCGACATTACAACAACCTCATACCAATTAGTCCATAAACTCAGTTGTAGTCAGAAACAAATTAACTAATAATAACTATTAATGTCTAAAATTGAGAATATTTGATAATTCTGTTATTTTTCAAAATTAAAAAAATACTAATTGTATATATTTTATTTTTTATAAATAAATGCCATTTAAGACATTAGTATAATAATTGAAAAATTATTAAATGATTTAAGTTATAAAAAAGTAAATATAATTACATTTAACTAATTTTAAATAAAATATTATCACTTAATAAAAAAATTTCATGTATTGATATAAGCAAATAATGCGTACGTCTTACTATATCTAATTACAATCATAATAATATCATGAAAGTAAAATAACCACGCGTCTATATATTTCATAATTAATTAATAACAATTCACGGTCACTGGGGGCAGAAAGAGAAATGTTATATTTCTTTATTTTTTGTTATAAAAATACTTTATCAATTTTGCTAATTTATAAAGAAAAAATATACGAATAAACTAAATATATTTAATATATTAAAAATTTAAAACAAAATATATAATACTTACCTTTATACTGTTTTTTTTTCTTCTTTTAATTAATATCTACATATCTCTCTTAACTAATTAAAATACATGTTATATATTACTTATCTCATAATTAATATTATTTACTCTTTTAATCAATTAAAAAAATAATTTTTAAAAAGACTATAATTAATATATTGTATCACATTAAAAGAACAAGTTTTAATTAAGAGTATTTTAGTCTAAAAATAATTATTACAAAACATATTATAAATTATATCTAATATAGAAAAATTATTATTCTAAATTACATGTTATAAAAAGGAATGAAGAATATGGTTGAATTTCTATTATAATTATCGGCGAAAGAGAGCAAGGAATTTTGGAGATTGAAAGAATGAACCGTTTAACTTTCTATATGATTAAACTTACAACGAAATCATGGTCATGTAGATACACCCGAAAACAAAGAATGACCGAAATAATTATGTAGCGTTAAACCAACGCAAGCGAAAGACATGAAAAGATAATGAAAGAGGGTAACCAACATAAGCCAAAGAAGAAACCAAAACTATGAAAATTGAGTTTGAAATTTGAATCAAGCGAAAGCCACGGCGACGAAGGTTCCAACGAGAGCAGTGGCAGCAATGCAGGTCTTGCTTATGGAGAACGCAGCGGAGGGAGTCTCAGCGGCTGGTTGCTCTGGAGCTGGGCCTGATGCCGGGCCTGATGCTGGGCCTGGCGCGGGAGGGGAAGGGGTTGCTGGGCTTGGGGCCTGGGATGGAGGAGTAGGTGTTGCTGGTGCGGGTGCGGGTGCAGGTGTTGCCGCAGGTGGAGGGGTGTTTGCGGTTGGTGATGGAGCAGGTGCTGACGTGGATGGTGATGGGGTTGCCGCTGGTGGTTGCGTGGGTGCTGGTGCAGGGGCTTGTGCTATGCATGAGGTGGCCAAAAGCCCCAATATCACAAACACTTTAACTGCAGCGTAACCCATCTTATGAGAAAGCGAGTGCAAAATTTACTTTACTCCAACGAAAAGGAGATGAATTGAATAGTAGAGTTGAGTGTGTTATGGGTTTGTGTGAGCTAACATGTGGTATTTATAGAGGGTACAATTTTTGTTGTATTATATAGCCTTGGACGGTGTACGACGTGGCTTGTAAGTAATGGGGAATATTGTATTTGTAAAATTATTTTTTAAATTGTTTCTTAGTTATTGCCAGTTAACTAAACAACATTCTACATGTGTCGGTTAGAGGTTAAGGTAGACATCGATGTCTGTATGGCGGTTTTCCAGCCTACTTCCAACTACCGGTTCCCATTTCCCAGTCTGTCTTTACGCGTTAACATTTCTCATTTCAATTTTCTACAACTGTTCTATTAGATTAATAGATTACCCTCAACTTGCAATCATTGATTGATTAATTTATTCGGGGTTGTGTGATCATGGCTTAGGTCAAACAACGGCACATTCACAATGAACCATTTCTAGCTAGCTATTGTTATCATCGCCACGGATTATTTTATTATTTTTATTTCAATTTGTCTATGTTGAATTATTTGGAGTACCTCAATGAGCCATTTCTCATTGTTACCGCCACACATTGATTTCTATTTTAATTTCAATTTTGTCTATTGTTGAATTATTTGGACTACCTCACATCTTTATTATCTTATGAAATTCGGTCTAGTTATTCTCTCTATTATTATGTCATTTATTATTGGCAAAATATAGTTTACACCAAATTACTAGTTATCACGAAAAGAAAAAAAAAAGGAAAATAAATATGAGAAGGTATACTACTTTTAGTCTTGATTATAAGTAATATAGAACAAATTATCAAAATAAAAAAAATAATTATTATAATTACCTTTAATTAATTTTATCAAAAATTTAAGTTTTATTCCAAGTATACATTTTACTTTAAGTGATTATTATATTTAACATTAGTTATAAGTGAATGCATAAGAAATAAAATTAACAATTGTACTTTTTGGGTCGACCACTACTAACCACCTTTAAGTCGACCACCTTTGAGCTAACCTCTATAGGAGACCACCTTCCAAGCTTACCACCTTTATCTAAACTACCTTTTGGCCAGTCTCTCGAGACTGATCACCTTCAAGTTGATTACTTCTAGACAACGAAGTGCCTTGACACCATAGGTTCTATAGTGGGTATCTAGAACAACATTTACTTAAGACTCAGACGTACACTCCAATTTTAGCAGTTGGTGAGGTAAGTACCCATGTTCCATGTTTTGTGGAGAAATTGATATATGTTATTGTAAACCTCCCTGAAAAAGGTGACAATGAGAAAGTTAAATGTAATGACCTACCTTGACTGTCACACTGCGAATCAGAAAGGGGCCAGAACGGCCCGTTCTGGATTCGGAATGACCCGTTTTGGGCTAGTCCGTTGTGGGTAAAATAAGAAACTGGAACGACCCGTTCCAAAAGTGAAATGGCCCGTTCTGGGTTCGAATTTTACTTAGACAAAGCTATTCTAGAACGGCCCGTTCCATTTTTAGAACGGCCCATTCTGGGCAAGTTTGTTATAGGTAAAATAAGAATCTGGAACGGCCCGTTCCTAAAGTGGAACGGCCCATTCTGGGTTCAAATCTTGCTTATAACAACCTGTTTTGGAACAGGCCATTCCGTTTTGGGAACAGCCCGTTCCTGTCTTGGAACAGCCCGTTTTGGGCTACTAAAACCAGCTTATTTAGGCTTTACGTCTTCTGATGTCCTGTCTTATTGTTTGCCTATTTCGGGAGCTCCTTCCCTTCATAACGGAGGTCCATTTTCTTTTTTGTATGCCCTCGGACGAAATTGGGTGTCTACAGCTGCCCCTCTTTACTTGACCTTTGGAGTAGCTATGTGTTGCTTTTCCAAAGGCAAGTAAAGACGTAGAAATTTCGTCCGGGTTTCTTCCTCGTCTCTTTGGTGTTGGCGCTTCTACGTTCCTTTTCTTGGATAGGTGTATTTGCTCGTGTCCTCGCCCTTTAGAGCAGTTGAGTGTTGGTTGCATACTCTATTGGGTAACAAGGCTGACAAACTGTACACCTGATCTTCGGTCTTTAAGTAGATGCTCCATTGTTTATCTTGTGATAGTGCGTTCCTTTATTTGTAGCTTGTTGAAGAGGGATTATTTTCGTAGCTCAGCTTCCCTCACGGCTTTGTCGTATACCGGATTGGGAGATAACTACAGTCTCTCCAGACCTTTCCCTCACGGCTTTGTCATATACTGGATTGGGATGTGAGTACAGTCTCTCCGGACCTTTCCCTCACGGCTTTGTCGTATACCAGATTAGGATGCGAGTACAGTCTCTCCAGACCTTTCCCTCACGGCTTTGTCGTATACCGGATTGGGATG